TAAACAAATTAAGGTCCTTCATATTCAGGACTTGACATAAATCCTCCCCTTCATGAAATGTTTTTCCTTACCTCTTTCTGCCTCCTAACAAGTCTTTATCCTTCCGCTTGTGCTTTTGATTATTGCAGGCATGTTAGTTGGGGGTAGTGAGGTGGGGGGACGGGGGAGGGGTGGGGAAGGGAGAAGATACATGTTTGAATAGAGAATGCCAATCCAATCTTTGATTAACCTTTTATGACGCTTATATTAGGGGAATGGACAGGGTGGGACGAACACCACTTTTGGCTAGCCAATATTACATTATACCTCATTTAGTTTATGGAGCCTGTTGACATACTCAAAGATGACATTTTAAATGAGTTTTGTGTTTTGTTTTTTTTGTATCCTTGTCTTTAATTTATATAGACAATCAAGAATTATGTCTTTTAACTTCATACTTTGTAATGGTCTCATATGACAGGAATGCAGTAGATATTTGGCCTGGTTGTAATATAGGATAGGTTTGCGATTCTATTTATCTGAATACTACTCTTTTCAAAATCTCTGCGTCAGTAACAGCTCTCATGGGATTGTGCATTTAGGAGTGCAAATGACCTGGTTTTTATAAAATAAAAACTAGCTCTTCTTGGGCAGGCAAAACGTTCCCAGTGAAGTGATCTCCTTTCTTACATTAAATAACAAAGACTGGGTTTTTCTAAATGTTTTGTCTATGCAACATCTTTAACACTTTAATTGATTTGAAATGATCTTGGCCTTGGAAAGTATGCTCACTAAATGCTTAGGTTTTTTTTTTTTTTTTTTTTTTCTTTGAACCAGTGTAAGCATTTCACAGCACCTGGTCCTTTGAAAAGCAGAACCCACGCCATACCTACAAGATGGCACACTGCCAAGAAAGCCCTTTTGTGTGTGTTTGTGGTGAATCATTCAGAGTCTGTAAGACTGATCAAAATTGCACTGTTTGAAAACTTTGTTTTCCCTATTTTTTGTCTCTGACGACTCATACGTTAGTACGTTTATGTCTAGATTCTCTTTTCTTCCTCGTTTCTCATCATGTTCATTCAGAAGATGTTCTTTCACTAGTTCCAAAATTTGTATTTCTATATTCTGTCAGTTTTCATCTTGAAACATACACACAGCAATATGCTCTGAATCATAAAATTCTGCATTAAATCCCAACACTTAAAAACCCCACATATTCTCTGTAGGGCTTTACCTGTACTTCTGTTCCCATTTTCATTCAGTAAAAATTTGTGAACGTTTTATAGTCACTGGCACATGAACCTTTATTATTTCATCTGTTAGAAGATTTTGGATGCGAGAAACACAAAAATCAATGCCATTGGCTTAAATGTAGGACACTCAGCGCGTCATGGTTATGAAGGAATATGAAAAGTACCCTGGCTTCAGTGTCAATTAAATGAATATATCAGTAATGGTCTCAAGGACTCAGGCTCTTCCCATCATTCTCTTTGGCCATTCTTTTAAATCAGTTTTTTTTAAAAATATATATTTTATTGATTTTTTACAGAGAGGAAGGGAAAGGGATAGAGAGTTAGAAACATTGATGAGAGAGAAACATTGATCAGCTACCTCCTGCACACCCTCTTCTGGGGATATGCCTTCAACCAAGGTACCCTATGACCCCTTAGATGTCTGATCACCCTGGCCTGCTACAGAATCCTGTGAGCTCAGTTTAGTCAGAATTCTCCCCTTACTCCTGTTGTTCCCTTTTGGTAATATTCTATCCACTGCTGCTTCGCTATAAATTCCAACTTTGGCCTGTATTTGGAATTGAGCGTAGCTCTTTCTGCTATTGCAACCCTTTGAATAAAACCTTCCTTACAATTGAAAGTCAGACAATTTTTCTTTAACAAACCTCATAACCTAAATAACTAGGGTTATTTTTCATTTCGTAGACAACAAAATTGCAGTTTGTAATTACATTTAATCAAGATTATCCAATTTGTAAATTGGGCATTGTTTATAATAACCAAGATATGGAAGCAACCCAATTGCCCATCAATTGACAACTGGATAAAAAGTGGTGGTACATATACACACTGGAATATTATTCCACCCTTAAAAGAAAAAGGAAAAAAAAGAAATCTTACCATTTGTGACAACATGGATGGACCTAGAGGGTATTATGCTAAGTGAAATAAGTCAGACAGAGAAAAACAAATGTGGTATGATTTCATTTATATGTGAAATAAAACGAACAAAATTAGGAACAGGCTCCTAGAGAACAGACTGATAGTTGCCAGAGGGCAGGGGGATGGATGAAAAATAGGTCACGGGATTAAGAAATACAAATTGATCAACCAAAGGACTGGTGTGTATGCATATAAGCCTAACCAGTGGCCCTGGACAATAGGGGGTGAGGGTATATGTGGGGAGGAGTTTGGGATGGGAATGGGGGGATTAGGACAATTATGTGATACCATAATCAATAAAAAAAAATACAAATTGGTAGTTACAGAACAGTCACAGGATGTACAGTACAGCATAGGGAATATAGCCAATCATATTGTAGTAACTATATTGCCAGGTGGGTACTGGAAACATCTGGGGGAATACTTTGTCAACTATGTGATTGTCAAACCACTGCACTGTATCCCTGAACCTAATGCAAACTAATATTACACATAAACTGTAATTGAAAAACAAAAGTAAAAAGAAGAGCCTAATCGCTGGATTCCAGCACTCCTGCTCACACCAGGCCTGCTGCTCCCCAGGGCCCCGCTGGCATGTGAGTTTTCTGTACTTGGTGATTGAGTTGGAAACTCTAGTTACTTAGAAGGAAGGCATCACCCTTACCCAGCAGTTCTGACTTTGGGTTAATGACATTAGTACATTATTACAATGTTTTTTTAGTGTTTCTCTTCCCCCTCCCTCCCCCCCCCCCCCCCAAAGCCTTTGATCATTGAACAAGAGACCTAAAGTCCCAGCTACACAAGTGTGCGTCCTGGATGTTGCAGGCGGAACTGGTGGCTGATGTTCCAGGCTGGCGGGCCGGGGTGCGTAGGGCTCACGGGCTCTCAGACCCGCCGCTCCCTCTTCCCCGGGGCGGCCCGGGAGCGCAGACGGGCTGGAGGAAAGCCCGGGCCGCGCCCGCCCGGGACCCGCGGGCCCCGGGCCGGCGTCTCCGCCCCGTGCGGCCCGGCCCGGCGCAGGGCCCGCCTCCCCGCGGGACTGGGGCCGCCGCCCCGCCCGGGCCCGCGCTCCTCCTCCCGCTCCCGCTCCCGCCCAGGAGGAGCCGCCGCGGAGGGAGACGCCGGCCGCACAGCCCCTGCTTCCGCGGTTGGTTCCTCACTTTTCCCAGCTCCGGGGGGAACCCGGCGCCCCCCGACCTCGCCTTCGCCCGCAGCGCCGGCGGGGAAGCGCGCAGGCTTCCCTCGCTTCGGCCCCGGGAGAGCGAGGGTGGGGAGTCCGGCTGCGCGCGGGGTCGGCCCGGCCTTCCCCCCCGCGGCCCGGGTTCGGGGCCGCGCGCTCCCGCCCCACGCCCGGCCCCGGCTCGCGTTCAGGTTCGGGTACCGGTCTGCCCCCCGGAAGCTGGCGGTGAGCCCCTCTCCCAGCCCCGGGATGAGGTCCGGGGGCAGGACGCCCGGCCCGGGCCTGGAGGGAGGCTGGGGGAACGGGAACTGGGGGTGCATTTCATACCAGTTTCATTTCGGGTCTCCAGGTCGCACGCTGCCTTTACCCACTTCAGACTTTTAGGATGTTTGTCCAGATGGACGTTGTTTGTTTGTTTGTTTGTTTGTGCCTTGAGATTGTACACCCGCGAATAGGTCGTGGACACTAGGAAATACAAAGTACTGGTTCAGGGAAATCCTCTCCAAAAACTTTTTTCTACTTTGGACTCAGATCACCACCTAGCTTCCCGGCTTCCCCGGGCTCCTGTTAGGAGGGGGACAGGTGAATATCCTGGAAAGTTTCAGCTGTTTCTTTGCTTTTAGGCTACCTGAGGCCTTGTTGCAAAAGAGAGCAGGGCCCTGGGGTAAAGTAAGGGAAGGAGAGAAAAACCTATGAAAAGGAACAGAAACGTTCTCATTCGGAAGATTGGGAGATGACACGACGGAACTTTGCATTAACTTTTATTCAGAAGCTCTCACCACTTTTAAAAAATGATTTGGAAATAACAGGATTGCAGTTACCATCACATTTCAATTGGTTTCAGGCATAGATACTGTCCCCCTCCACCCCCTGAAGAGATGTTCTCTTCCAGGGCAAAAATCTCTAATTGTGAAATTTACTAACCTGTGTTCCATTACAGTTAATTGATTAAAGAGGTGTGACTGTTCTGTGGAGTCTATGCTTGTTGCCAATACCACACTCATCTCTCAGGCAGGGAAGCTTTCATGTTGGTGAGGGTGGGGAAGGGACAGGGTATAGAAAAACCGAAAGAAGCTGAAGGAGGCATGTGCAGGCCTGAAACTGCCCAGCGGCCTAGACTTCTGCTAAATTATAAGTGCTTCTTGTAAGTTATAAACCCATGAAAATCCCCAGCTGCTTTTACAAATATTCCATGCCATTTGCTGTGTTTGGCAATGGTGAACATTGCCATTTTCCCAGTCCATAGTTTTGTATTCTTTCCTAGTGATCCAAGACCTCATGCCAGTGAAAGGAATATGTAAAATGTATTCTATCTTTTTCATCAGAAATTGTGAAGTATCATAGACCCCCAAATGAATTTTGGAAGTGTTGAATTAAATTAAACGGGCTTGTATTTTGTGTTATGTTTTTTTGTTTGTTTGCTTGTTTTTTTTTGTTTTGTTTTTTGACCAGCAGTACTTCCTAGTTTTCAACATTGTAATATATGTGAAGCTTCCATTGGAACAAACCCAATTGACCAGGAATTGACCTAATTGACCTAATTTCTAGGAACGTGGGAAAGGGGCCCCTGGAAGACACTTTGAGAAAGGTATATTAACCGGAATATTTTGTTGCTGCTGTTTCTGTTTTTAATCGCTGGCCTCTCCCCTCTTCTGCCAGCAGAAGTGATGCCCCCAAGAAGAAATGGGAAATACAAACTTCCCGACCCACTTCCAGAAGGCAAGGTTCTGGATGACATGGAAGGAAAGCAATGGGTCCTGGGCAAGATGATTGGTGCTGGAGGGTTTGGATTAATATATTTAGGTAAAGTATAACTGTATCTGATCACGTGTTCTTATATATGTGACTGTAATGTTTTGAAATTGAAACTTCCCTTAGTAATAGCTAATTAATAAAAAGATAGCTAATGTGGAGTAGAACTCCTAGTTTCACAACATGACTGGTCTCAGTCCTTATTGTTCTTTTTCTTTTTTTTTTCTTTTTTCTGAAGGACTCTCCCAGACATAGTGTTAATGTTAATGTTCTTTTTTGAGAATGTGTTTTCCTGGAAACATTGCCTTTTTACAGCTGGGAAACCACAACTACACGAATACAAACATTTTCCACTTGTGAATCTGATTAATATTTAAGTAATATAAGGTCTAGGTCATTTCTTAATTAGGCTCCACCAGAGAATTGCCCTTTAATATCTCAAAGCATCTACTACTTGGATCGAATTTTCTCTCCTGTGCATCTAGAGTCTAATGGTTATGTGTTGTCTTTGGGATAATTGAGAAAATAGATGATCAGTATTATTTTCTGAGTTCTTTGGTGCATGGAGCCTTGGCTGAGTATATTTACACTATATTTACACTTGTACACTATATTTTAAAATGTTTACACTAAATTTTAAAAGGCTCATTCAGGGCTACCGTAAACCTGGAGTTGAATGATTAGAGGATATCTATAACAAGACTAGATTTAATGAATAAAATAAGATAAATATTAGTGATATAAAAAAAGTACCTTCAAGGACAAGTTTTCCTAAATGTATTGACTCATTACATATGTTTCTGAAGGAGTTTAAGAAGTTGGTAAAAGACCCCATTGTGGGAATCTTGGGTTCCTCACTAAACATTTCAAACTGCTGGGGAGGAAAGGACTATCCCTGTACTCTTCTAGGTTCGATAGCTGGGTTTATGAAATGAATTGACAACAGTTAGATTAACAGGACACAAGTGTACAAATTCATTTTAATGTTATGCGCACAGAGATATTATAGGGAAAAAAAGGGGGGACGTCCCAGGAAGTGGTGAGATATGAGCACCTATATACCACTAGAGGCCTGGTGCACGGCATTCAGCCCAGCCTGCACCCTCTCGCATTCCTGGACCCTTTGGGGGATGTCTGACTACTGGCTCAGACCCGCTTCCACCAGGGAGCGGGCCTAAGCAGGCAGTCGGAAATCCCTCCGAGAGGTCCTTAATGCTGCAAAGGAAGCAGGAGAGGCTCCCGCCACTGCTGCTGTGCTCGCTGGTGGTGAGCCCCGCTTCTGGCTGAGCACATGACCACCAGGGGGCAGCTCCTGCATTGAGTGTCTGCCCCTGGTGGTCAGTGTGCATCATTGTGACTGGTCGTTCTGCCGTTTGGTCCATCTGTATATTAGGTTTTTATTATATAGGATCTTAGTAGGGAAACATAAGAAGGGAGTAGATGAATGGTCCCTTAGAAAAATAGATGGAGGATATGACAGTGTGTACAGATATATATATATATATATATATATATATATATATATATATATCATGTGCACATACTACTTGTGTGATGAAAAAGGAATTTATTTGCTCAGGCATGTGATTTATCTCTTTTCAAATACAGAAAAATCTTTGCTTCTTTCAGTCTAAGTGCATGCCATATGTTTTTTTGTTTTATTTTTTTGCTTATTTTTTCTCATTGCCAAACAGTATATGTTGTACAACAATTTTCAAGGTCCTATATGTTTGTAATACCTCCTACTGTCTAAATTTTAGAACCCAGATCCTAAAAATATTAGCAAGTGAACACCATTGAGGAAAAGCCATTAAAAAGGGTTTAGGTTTGAGGAAAAGGCTCCACAAAGAAACTATAATAAAACTGTGTCCCAAATGTTGTCACTGTTCCATCAAAAGTGGCACCCATGACTCACAGAATCAGCTCTTCAGTGAGATGCCTTCAGCCATAACTTCATTAAACTAGTTTGTATTGATTATTTTGGAAGTTCTCCAAGCAAATCTATTGGAAATTACATCATGCTTTTGTATTTTACCATGGTTCTCATCACTTCTTGTGTAAAAGTGAAGAAGCCGGTAATTTCAGACAGACTGTTTTAGCAGACGCTTTATCAGTATTTGTTACCTAAGGCTGAGGAGAAACTAGCCTTTCTGTCTAGTTCATTGTACATATATAGCTGTGCTCTAGTTTTGAGACCCAGGGCTAAGACCTTTCAGTGCAAAGGGCAGAAAAGTTTGCTGTTTACTCTTGACTTGAAGAAATGATGTGCCTGTAGCATTAGTAGTAACACTTATAAGTGGGGAAAAAATGTGAATACAAGAACAAAGTGAAGGTTCTTTTTTGTATACAGTATGTAAAGAAAGAAAAAAAGGAAGAAAGGAAACTGGTTTAAAGGATGGGGGGGGGAATGCTGTCCTTGTATAATAGTATAAAGTAAGTGGAAATGTTTCTAAGACTCCTGGGAAGGAGAGAGGACTGAGTATGAATCCTGCTCTCAGAGAATTGCACAAGTAAGAGCACGGGTTTTGGTGTTTGGCAAATCTGGGTTGAATTCTGAGCTTACTAAGCCACCTAAAAATTGAGTCTTTCTATTTTGTGTAATTGGGATAATATTAATTGTGAGGATTGAAATAATGTTTTTAAACGATTTAGAACTTGGTAAGCACTTACACTTAATTTGTTTATTTAATTAGAATTTCCCATCCTCAGTGATAATTGAACTAACTCTAGGTTTAGTGTTTGGTGCCACAGGGGGTTAGGATGGTGACAAAGACATCTATTGGAGGGATTTTCCATTTATCCTGCCAAGGATTGTGATAGATTTAGCTACTAATGTGGTATAACTAAGAATATAGGGAATGTCAGTGGAAGACTATGGCATTTTACTTACTAACCATTTTCCCCTTAAAGTTTACAGTAGTAGCCACGATGACATAGTGGAAAGTTCTCCTTTAAGCTGTCTTGTTTGCTCCAGATGTGAGCGATAATGGGTTTTAGAAGTTAGAAAAAATCCAGAAACACAGAATCATAGGTAGTAAGTTTCACTTATTTGTTCATCTTTATCTGTGAACAAATTTATCCCATATAATTTCTAGTACAAGTTACCCTTATTTCCTATGATGTCCTCCTTTCCACCCCCACAGTCAGTATCATTTGCAAAATGTCCTAGTAACAGTTTTGGCGGCATTAAAATGGTGCCCTGCTGGCTTAGACCACTCTCAGCAGGAGTGGCCTTGTATGAGGAAAAATGAAAATTATTTATCTGTGGAAGTTTTAGTTTTTGAAGTTGGGCATAGTGGTGACTCTTTAGCAGCTTTAAAATATCAAGTACAGCCCTGACCGGTTTGGCTTAGTGGATAGAGTGTCGGCCTGCAGACTGAAGGGTTCTAAGTTTGATTAAGGTCAAGGGCATGATCTTGGTTGCAGGCACTTCCTCAGTAGGAGGTGGGCAGGAGGCAGCTGATCGATTTTTCTCTCCCATTGATATTTCCAACTCTCTATCCCTCTTCCTTTCTTTCTGTAAAAAATCAATAAAATATATTTTAAAAAGAGAAAGAATATCAAATACAGAGTAGAGGATGTTCAAGAGTTATTGGTCTGAGAGACTGAGACTGAGATCAGGGTATTGAACCCATACAAGCCAGTTTGCTTTATTCTCTTCCATTATTATAGATGTCACCCTTAATTCCAGCCTGTAATCTTAGTGCCACACGAAAGGCTGGGACAAGTTAAATAGCAGGATGTCACCTAAAATAACCTATGTATGCTTTATTGATACTTAATCAATAGCACCTTTTATGAAGAAGAATACAGTACTAGCACTAAAATGAACTCTGGTGAAGCCTTATGACTGAATCCTTTATGCATGGATGAGTGTTTAGATTTCACCTAAATGACCATCATTACACTTTTTTGGCCATGCTCTCCAGTTAGCTCAATTTTGATCTTCAGAAATACAGAGGCAGAGGAGTGGGTAGGGATACTAGGATTTTTAGAAATTATCAAAATTTAACCCACTTATTTGATTGTTAAGGAAACATACTTCTACCTATAAAGAAATAGAAAAGGTTATTTATACTCGTGTGATTTTTACTTATTTTATTTTTTAGTCAGCTGTAATGGGCTGATTGTTAATGTATGCAGAGTAATGTTCAGAAGAGCCTATCACCAAAATGCAGCTATTGGAACACACATTGCTTCATTGCACATTGCTGGATTAAGTGTTATTCTGGCAGTGTTATACAGAGAAGGCCTTGAGATGGGCAGTCTTATTTGACACAGGGCACCATTTTGATGCTTGTCATAACTGTTACTAGGATATTATGCAAGCAGTACTGACTGTGGGCGTGGAAAGGAGGACATCAGTAGGAAATAAGGGTAACTTGTACCAGAAATTATATGGGATAAGTTAGTTTACAGATGAAGGTGTAGAGAGAGAAAAGGACCATGTGAATTTGATATATTGGTTGGGCCTATACTTAAGAGGCCCTGGCAGTTGTATTTTAATTTTGTATGTGCTATCCACAGACTATTAAATTTGAGTTTTTAAAGAGAGAGCACTGTCTATTTTCCTATCGGTTAAGAAATCTAAGTATTTACAAAAGCTTGGCTTTGTATAAAAAAAAGGAAGAGTCCTTCTAAGTCTTAGCCTTTGCATGTCTTTTTTATTTTTCTAAGTGTCCAGCCTTTTTATCATAATTATATTATTGTTTTCATCTTTGACATTTTTTGCTGTTAATCTCTTGCTTTGGGAAACATTTACAAACACTGTTGTTCTTCAGTGACTTACATATGTTTCTTCCACTGCACCTGTTACTAATTTGTAACCATTTACAATGATAGGGGTTTTAACATGTGAAGCCTATTGCTATAGAGACAGGTCTTCTTCATGAGATGATCTCACCTCTCCTGCCGTAGAGTAAAAGATGTCTCAGTTTTTGAGAGAGTCTGGCTTCCTTATGAAATGTGGATAGACTTTTGCTTATGAGGTGTATTTTAGGGTCTTCTCTTTAAATATAGAAGAAGAAGAAGAAGTAGGAAGAAGTATGGTC